GAGCCAGCTGCCCACCCCGGCTCCCCCACCCGCCTGCGCCAGCCCCACCCTTCCCCTGGGTGAGGGAAAAGGCTCCTGAAGCCTGGGAGGAGGAACTCCCATTCTTGTTCTCACAGTAACCCCTGCACCAGGGACGGGCACAGGTAAACACCCCAAAAGGGAAAGGTGCCTGCAGGCACCAGGGCCTGGGCCAGTATGCTCGGTAGTCAGCGCTCCCTCCCTGGCTTGCCTTTAACGAGCAGGACACTTTTAAGACACAAGGTCTACATCACATATTTACTTTGCATCCTGTGCTTAAGAATGCTAAGCAGAGGGACCAGCAGTTGGCGTAATGGCTATGTCGCTGGACTCCCATGTAATCGACTGCAGTTTGAGTCCTGGACCCGGTTACTTAAACTCATGCTGGGCGCGTGTGCGTGTGTGCCCAAGATCCCAAGAGGAGAATGGAGGAGAAGGGATTGCAGCGTGGCCATCCCCCCTGAGGGATGGCTTTTCACTTTCTTTCTCTGTCTCTCTCTGTCTTTCTGGTGAGCGCATGCGCCCTATAGCAAAACCCTCTCAAAAAAAAAAAAAAAATGATCTGCAGAGCTTATTTTCAAGAAGTCCTAGAACCCTGACAACCAGTGTTTCTGATTCAGGAGGTTCCGAAGCCACCTCAGGGGTTTACTTTTTTATTAGACATCCTAGGATATTCTGAAGCAGAGCATCAAATCCAGAGGACAGCACTGGCAAGGTCTGTAAAAGTACTACATTTGGCGACAGGGACCCTACAGAAGATTCTGTCAGCTCGCCTATTGTTACATGCACTAGGCACATGTTTATTACTTCATCAAGCCGGACCGCATTGGCACACTCTATACGTGCTTGTCGGACAGAACGACTAGAAGATGGACGGTTGGATGGGGGTGATGAAGCGCTGGGTCCAGATTTCCTGATTCTTATTCCAAAACTCTAGCTGGGATGGCAAACTCACTGTGAACTTAGAAGCTGAGTGGGGAAGGAAAGGTGTTAAACAAGTTTGCTCAATATATTATCTCAGTGCTTCTTGAACTTTTTCAGCCGAATATCCTTTGTAATAAAAAGACTATCAAGAATATAAAGTTTCTTTGGCAGTTTTATCTCCTGCATTTTAGCCTACAAAACATTCAGGTTTGTTAAAAAAAAATAAATTAAATTAAATTAAATTAAATTAAATTAAATTAAATTAAATTAAATTAAATTAAATTAAATTAAATTAAATTAAATTAAATTAAATTAAATTAAATTAAATTAAATTAAATTAAATTAAATTAAATTAAATTAAATTAAATTAAATTAAATTAAATTAAATTAAATTAAATTAAATTAAATTAAA